CAAGGGAAATATTCATCTTCCCTATGACCCAGCAACTCTACTGATAGGTATTTATGCAAGATAAATGAAAACTTATATTCGCAAGGAAGCTTTGTATGAGAATTTTCAGAGTGGCTCTGTTCACATATCCAAAAGGTAGAAACAATCAAATGTCTGTAGCAGAAGAATAGATAAATAACATACCAAGCCACTAAAACAGATGAACTACAGCAACATGCAGCAGTGTGGATGAGTCTGACAGCTGTTATACTGAGGGAAAGAAATTGAACACAAAAAAGTATATATGCCTTCATTATGTGAAAATCTAGGCAAGTAAAATCAGATGGATGGTTAGGGCTTGCAGTACAAGGAGACTTTCTGGGTTTGTGGAAATGTCCTGTGTCTTCAATGGAGTGCTATTTAGCCATAAAAAAGAATAAGATCCTGTCATTTGCAACAACGTGGATGAAATTGGAGGTCATTATGTTAAGTGAAATAAGTCAGGCAAAGAAAGAATCTGCACATGTTCTCACTTTTTTTGTGGGAGGTAAAATAAGACAATTGAACTCATGGAGATAGAGTGTGGAGTGATTGTTCCAGAGGCTGGCAAGAGTGGTGGGGAGGGCGCAGTGGGAATGGTTGATGGGTACAATAATGTAGTTAGAATGAGTGAGATCTAGTGTTTGATAGCAAAACAGGGTGACTACAGTCAACAATGATTTATCGTACATTTAAGAATAAGTGTAATTGGATTGTTTATAATACAAAGAAAAGATAAATGCTTGAGTTGATGGGTACTCCATTTACCCTGATGTGATTAATATGCATTGTATGCCTGTATCAAAATATCGCATGTACTTTATAAATACATACACCTACTATGTGCCCACAAAAACTTTAAAAAAAAAGGAAGAAATATCCGATTTGATATTGCAGTTAAAATCTTGGGAGTCCACTGCATGTGAATTTAGCTTCCATTTTTTAAATGTTTCTTGAATATAGGGCAAATACTTAGGAAATCAGAAGCTGTGAGATTCCAGATAATCACTTGAGTTCAGTATTACAAAATACGATTTTAATGCCCCATGTTACAAATGTAAAAGTTAGTGTTCTGTCTCTGTAGGGTTGCTCATTTCCGATCAAGATTCTGCAGGTACTTTGTGAACTATCTGGAGTTGACATGTACAACATCAGGATGTCCCGTTTGATCAGTTGTAATTTTTGAGAAAAAGGTCAGACAAATTGGTCTGAAGACTGGCTCATAGAAGCTCTAGAGCCTCTAGACTGTAGAAGAAACTTAGTTTTCTCATCTGAACTTACATTTGAAAAAGAGGTGACATACACCTTCAACAGTGTTTAGGCAAGTACACACTACTAAATCTCATTGTCAAAACCAGGACAGTAAGGTTGAAATAACCACTTCCATGTGAAAGTAATTCTATAATTAACCCTGTTGTCTCTCTTTTTTTTTTTTTTTTTTTCCTTTGGAGACAGAGTCTTGCCCTGTTGTCCAGGCTAGAGTGCAGTGGCACGATCTTGGCTCACTGCAGCCTCCGCCTTCCGGGTTCAAGCGATTCTTCTGCCTCAGCCTCCCAAGTAGCTGGGATTACAGGCGTCTGCCACCACGCCCAGCTAATTTTTGTATTTTTAGTAGAGACAGAGTTTCACCATGTTGACCAGGCTGGTCTCGAACTCCTAACCTCATGATCTGCCTGCCTTAGCCTCCCAAAGTGCTGGGATTACAGGCGTGAGCCACCGCGCCCAGCCGGTGAACCCTGTTGTCTCTTAAGACACACAAAGTGTGAATACAGAGTGGTGGGGAGTGGTCAGGACATGAGGGTGAAGCCCATCCTGGGCTGAGACCACCTAGGGTCAAATTCCAGCTCTGCCAACTAAATCCTGTGCATTTCTGGGAGGCATTAGTGTACCCTGCCATAATATGGCTGTGATCTGCTGTAACATACCATCATCTCCAACAATACCATATGACAGGCTACACCAGGATCTTCTCCTATGCCACTCTTATTTTTATTCTCTTGGGGTGATCTCTCCTCTGTTTTCATTATCCTGTACCCTGCAGATTACACAAGTGTCCATACACAGTGGTGATCACACGCATTTCTTCTATCTTTTTTCTCTGTGGCTTTCTCTCATGTTTGACACTCCATTGCCAAATAGTGAATAGTTATTTTGCTATCCAAAAGGAGCAGTTCAATGCCAACGTGTTTTTAAGCACCTGTTCCTTCTGCAGGAAAGTCCTCTTTGATCTTTATTTCCTCTTTGTTGGAAGTAAATTTGCCCTCTTATTTGCTGACATTTTCAAACTTGTACCACTTCTTTCTCACTATGGTAGATGACTGGAGGTAAACCTACTGCTCTTCTTTGTCTTTTTTTTATGTATCATATAATTTATAATACTTTTGGTATTCCATTTTTATATATAAATTTAAATTTGAAACTTTTGCTAAGTTTCAACTTTCAGATGGCTAGTTTTTAGCAAATAAGCTTAAAAAGTTTTATTATAAAGGATTTGATTCTTCTCTTCCAGTAGTAGCTTACTGATTTAGTTTTTAACAAATTATTTCTGTCTTTCAAAGATCATACTTATTTTTTGTTCATCTTTGTGCAAGTTGATAGGAGTAAAATTCCACAGGCATGTAAGTATCTACTCCCTGTAATCTGCTGCAAAGCAGGTTTTTAAAAATTTGACAGTAGCACATCAAAACATTGTCTTTATGTTTCACTCATCTTTTTCTTTAATTCTTGTGATTTACTAAAAGCTCACTGAACAGTTCTGTTTACTATATATTATAGTACACCATTCACCATTGTAATGCCAAAAACAGAATTTTGTGTATCATTACAGCTATAATGGAAAGGAGCACTGAGAAGCTTGTGTCCTGTTCATCCTTACCCTTTTATGAATCAGCGAGGAACAAAACTGTATCAGAAAATTGTTTCATTGGGTTACTTTCATTGTAAATATCACAAAGTCATGTAAAGTTATTGGGATTAGATGATACATAAAAGTGGGGGGCACTTAGTTCTGTCTCTACACAGACTTTGATTAATGGACCGTCATCTACTGCTTGCTTTGACTGTGGTTAAAGTTTGTGTTGGACTTAGACATTTGGGATTTGGAAATAAAGTTAAAGACTTCTCATACCAGTCACTTATAAGTTCTAGCAAATAACTTGGGGGTGGCTGTAGGAACATGGGGTTAGGCAGCGGTAACAAAGAAATAAGCCCTATTCTCATGGAGCTTTCTTTGGGAGTGGTGATACTCAGCAGACTGTAATTTGAAGTAGAAACAATTACCTTTGTCGATAGGTTCTTGGAGATACAACTTTAAACGAAATGAGTATATTGCAGCCTTTTTTTCCCATCAATGTTATAATGAAATCATGTTGAAAGCAATGGCATTATTTCAGGACCTACTATCCATTGTTTCACTTAAAGTTAGTTTTGAAGAACGTATTGACCACATTGAGGATATTCTGTAATCTAGGGATGGCCCCTGGAAAAGGAAGGTAGCATTTAGGTTCAAGTTTGTGGGGATGGGGATAGGCAGGATTTGGAAAGAGAGAGGGACAGAGCAGTACACAGGGGAGCACTTGGGATGGAGGAAGTGGGAATATGCACAGAGATGAATGGTGGAGAGCAATCTGGTTTGACTTAGGATGTTACTTACATATGTGTGTAAAGTAGTAGGTTAATGGGCTTAACTTGAGAAGATATCTTGGGACCAGATTATAGGCAACTAAAATTTTTTGTATTTTTAGATAGTAAGAAACCATGAAAGTGTTTTGAGACAGAATGTTGAGAAACATGAAAATTGTAATTTGGGCAATTAATCTGGCCTTTGTGTATAGATTGATTGGAGAACAGACACCATTAGCAACTTGTTTTGGTAGTTTGGATGCTTTGCCAAAAATGACTGGAACAGTAAATGGAAAGAGTGGGACGAATTCAAGGTGAATGGGGTGGCCAAACATTTTGATGATTAGAGACTATCCTGATTTACGTTTGAAACATGGCTATTACTGATGCCCCTTTTTGCTTTTAAATGTTTCTTGCTTTGGACAATAAATCATATGGTGACCCTAATAGATTGCTGTGGCATTGATAGCACTCGCTAATTAGACTGAAAGCAGACAGGGATGGTGTAAGAGAGCAGAATATACAGTTTTTTAGAAGTTCTTATTTCACTGAGTTTTCCTTTTTTGAAGAATTAAGCATAAAATTTCCTTACCTAAATTCTGCAATCCAGTCTTTTATGTTTAAAATTCTTTGTGTGCGTGTGTGTGTGTGTGTGTGTGTGTGTGTTTAACGAACACATCTGAGTTTTGGAATATTCAGCAAAATGATAGTTGCTGGCTGGGTGCAGTGGCTCTCACTTGTAATCTTAGCACTTTGGGAGGCTGAGGCAGGAGGATCACTTTAAGCCAGGAGTTTGAGACCAGCCTGGGCTACAAAACGAGACCTTGTCTCTACAAAAAATTTTAAAAAGCCAGGCATGGTGGTGCATGCCTCTAGTCCCGGCTGTTTGGGAGGCTGAGGTGGAAGGATGGCTTGAACCTGGGAATTCCAGGTGGCTGTGAGCTAGGATCATGCCACAGCACTCCAGCCTGGGTAACAGCTAGACCCTGTATCTAAAAAAAAAAAAAAGAAATTAATTAAAATAATTTTAAAATGATAGATGCCAAAGAGAATATACTATGTTTAGTCCTAACCTCACGTTTTCATTCATTTCTATTTAAAAGCAGAGCTTTTTAGGAGAACTTTAATAAATCGGTGTAGCTGACATAAAAATTTACAAATAGAATATCCTGTATATCAACACGCCATCACTGAGAAAACAGGCTCCATTATGTTAGCACGTTTTAGTTCCTGATCTTTTTTTCCCCGTATTGAAACAAGTGACTGTAGTCACATGATACTTGAAGGTTTTTGTGTGGATATAGCTATTATATTTGTGGATAGTCTCAAATGCTTTTATCTCGTGTGTTTTCCGTGTATAGGCCGAAGGAGAAGACAGCCTGAAGAAGATGCAGCTGATGGAGCTTGCGATTCTGAATGGCACCTACAGAGATGCCAACATTAAATCACGTAAGAATGAACCCTGAGGCCCAGGGTTACTGCTGCCTCTGTTGTTTTTGTCTACAGACTTTTCCTTTTGGCAACACAACACAATAACAGTTTATACAAAGTGAACAGTTGAAGTAATTCTGTCACTTGATATAGTAATTCTGTCACTTTGAGAGTCCTATTTTTAATGCTTTCATGAATTGAGGACACTCCTGATTTTATTTTATGTCAGCATGTTGAAGTTTTGGGTTGACAGACTTACATTATTTTAACGAAATCTCAATCTCTAAATTCAAGCGTTTAAGAAATTTTCTGTTTGGTTAAATACAGATGTAAGGCTTCCAGCTTATCTTGTTAAATGTATGCAAAAGACAGCATATTGAAAGCTTACTTTGACAAAGTGAATTTGAAGTGTATCTGAATAAAATGACCCTCTGTTGAGTTCTGTCCTTTCACTCTGCTTGCATGTTTTCCCTCCAGTATTTTTCCCTGTTGATTTCATATGTGAGTTCACAGAGATCAGTGGGTGATAACTCTTTCCGTCCTAATTTTGTTTGTATATGTATCTGTGCATGTTTTTATAAGCCATAAGAGGATAGCTTTTTTATGTTTAAAATGAAATAATGTGAAATTTTTGTTTTGAAACAATTTAAGATTCATACATATCATTTATATGAACATACCATATTTAAATTAGTGATTATTTAAGACACATAGAATTTTAAAGTTCTAGGCAGCTTTACAAAACGTAGGCAACCTACTGGGTTTAAAAGTAGTTACTTTACAAATTGTTAACATTAATTTACTCATGAAAATGTGAGTATATCATTAATAGGAATTTAGAAATAGGGCTTTTTAAGATTTTCTGTGATGATAGTTCCTAAAGATGCAGGAAATGTACATATATACCTAGTGGTTACTTGGCTAAATGCAATAAAAATTATTCTTACTTTACTTTGAAACTAAAGCTGTACTTTAGAAATATACCAAACTGAGTTTCTGTGGACTCCAGTTACAAATTATTTTTTAACATCTGTTAATGCAAGTGTTTCATTGTGCTTCTGCATGTACTTTAGTCTTATGAAATCTTAAAAACAGGTATATCAAATGTATGAACTAAATATAACCTATTTAATGGTGGCATTCATTTTTTTACAATGGCTTTTTAATTTTTGCACATTCTTAATCACATTGGGAAAGGGAAAGCTGTTTGCATTTGATTGGTGTGCTTTGGCATTTTTGTGTGATCAGCGCATGTACTAATGATTTCCTTTTATTTTTCTTCTTTCCTGCTTTTTCCTTTCTTTTTCCTACTCCCCTCTCATTTTCCCATATTTTATACTGCTGTCTCTATACTTCTTTCTAAATTTCTTTGCTTACTGTAGCAGCCCTTGCCTTTTCTCTTGCAGCAACAGCCCAGGCTGCTCCAAGGATCATTACTGGGCCTGCACCGGTTCTCCCACCAGCTGCCCTGCGTACTCCAACGCCAGCTGGCCCTACCATAATGCCTTTGATCAGACAAATACAGACCGCTGTCATGCCAAACGGAACTCCTCACCCAACTGCTGCAATAGTTCCTCCAGGGCCCGAAGCTGGTTTAATCTATACACCCTATGAGTACCCCTACACATTGGCACCAGCTACATCAATCCTTGAGTATCCTATTGAACCTAGTGGTGTATTAGGTAAGTTCTTCTCCCCACGGGGTTAACAACATTCTCTTTATAAATATTTTTGCTCCCCCAGATTTTGAAATGGTTTTATCAGTTTTAGAGAGGCAAGACAAGTTTCCATTAGGAAAGCCTGAACCCTAAATTTTATTGCAGCCTCTCATAAGGGTTCCCCTTTGAAATAATTGCACCTTAAGTTTATTCAGATCCACTTTGGTAACTCAGGTTCAGTTTGGTTGGGTAAATCTGTTGTGTGCGTTTTAACAAATACTTTTACATTTGACATGACTGAGGCCATTCTGAGTTTTAGGTCCCACCCCACTGGCCCGTCACCTCCATCAGCTCCACTTCTCAAACTTAGATTCATTTTATCTCACAGATTTGTGTAATTGTTGGAAAAACTTTAAACTTCTATGTGAAAGTAGTTTGAGATCTTTATGAAATTCATATTATTGTATGTGTTTTATAATATTTGTGATCACTTAATATATGAAAGAGACCAGATAAATACAGTCATGCATCGCTTAACAACGGGAATACCTTCTAAGAATTGCCTTGTCCGGCAATTTCATCATTTGGTGTACATCATAAAGTGTACTTACACAGACATACATGATACTGTTTACTACACACCTAGGCTGTGTGGTATAGCCATTATAATCTTATGGGACCACCGTAGTATATGTGGTCCGTTGTTGACCAAAATGTTGTTATGCAGGCATGACTGTAGTTGTATTCTTAAGATTTTTCAGTTCTTGGCTTTTGGAGTCCTAGTCGTATTAAACATGAGAGATACTCTTAATTTCAGTAGTACAGTATGGAATAGTTAAATACCAAATCACTGAATTCAGAATCTCACTTAAGGCAAAAATTAAAATCATAATCTAAACGCTTGGTTTTACATGAACAAAAAGTGGTGTGCTCGAAAAAGACATTACTGATGCCTTTTTTTTATAGAGTGGATTGAAATGCCAGTCATGCCTGATATTTCAGCCCATTGACTTGCTGGATGAAGGACTAGAATACAGCAGCTGTTATAACACGACCAGTCAATGTGGAACAAACTGTTTCTGTGCAACCCCTTTGTTTTACCAGACAAAATTTGAATACTTTTTTTCCTGAATTGTATACGACCTTGGTGCTGCATGCATGCTGTTGACTTTTAGGACTTTGATCTCTTAAGGTTTTTTTTTTTTCCAGCATTAATATTGATTTATAAGGATATGAAAATCTTTACTGAACTGGAGGACACTAAGATTTAAACTCGAAAATTCATTGTTCAAGTAAAGAAAGCCATGATGCTCTGTATGTTATCTGTGTGTGTGCATGCACTCAGGTGCCCTTTGTTTCATGAACAAATACATTTCATTGTACATGTTTTCTGTTTATCTCTAAATCATTGTATAAAGTAATTGCAGGTCAGAATTATACCACAGAACTGTTTATGAGAGGCTTGTCTCTGTTGCACATTTCTTGAAGCATTTTTAAAATAACATGTAACCTGTAACCTTGTTGTTTTAAGTTTTCTTTTCTATTAATACTCTGTCCTGTGGTCCCATGCATGCTCCTTTTCCCAGAACTCCTCTCTGCTGCACCCACAGCATCTGTTCCCGAGGAGTTATGACTCTTGACTTCCTGCAGGGCTGGGGCTCTTAGCTACCAGCTGCTGTTCCAGCACTTTCAGTGCAAGATCTCCCTGATTTTGCCACATGGAATTGTACTTGTATATGATTACCTTATCTAAAATGAATAAGGGGTGATGGACCAGTTTACTGCTTAGAAATAGCAAGAGGCACTGCAGTAAAACTTGTTTCTCATTGTAAAGCTTCATGTCTTTTGTTTGTTGAAAAATTTTTACTTATAAAAACTTAATTGTTAGACTGGTAAAATAAAGACCAAAATATGCAGATTTCTAATTGGCATTCATAAGGTGAATAATAATAAGTGCCAAATGAAAAAATCTTACTATGGTTAATTTTATTTCTTGCTTTGCCACCTAAGCAGTAAAACATGATATTGACCACTTGGAGAACTCAGAAAATTATTTTAAATTTCTAAGTTATAATAAATTTGCACACAGATAACATGCATGCTATTTATGTCACATCTCACATTAAATTATTTTAAAATAAGCAGTGCCCTTCAAAACAGATGCAGACATGTGTGTTGGTAGTAGTGAGGAGATTGGTATTAGCATCAAATCTTCATTGATGACTAATTTTTAATTCCCTTCCTTTTATCTTTAGGTATGGCTTTCCCAACGAAAGGCTAAGAATTCAAGAACGGTCTTAACTGAACCCTCATCAGATCTGAATTTAACAAATGCTTAGTCTCAGCAGCCTCCGGGGGAAAAAAGCTTAGCCTAGCAGTCAGTGACTTACTTGCACTTTTTGCACATAGATATAAAGTAAAATTATGTTATTAATTTGGTTTAGTCTGTAATATTACACAGTAATGGTAATTTATAAAGGAGTGTATAGTAGTATACTGACTGCTAAGTGTACTATACTGTTTGCTTTACTAATCACCTAATTCATTGCAGTTCATACTTATTGACTCAGAGTTTAAAACCACAATCTGTAGGCTTTAAGAATTGCTTTTAAACCTTTTTAAGTGATAAACTCTTGAAGTGGTCTTAAGGTTAGCAAATAATTGTCAGTATTAAACATGGCATTATTTAAGTAGTCCTGCTGCGAGAAAGGCACTTCAGTGAATATGTGACTAGTAAAGCTTAAATATGTTTGGATCTAATAGAGTTCATGAAATACTGTAACTTGGGGATTGTAAATGAATGGATAAAATAGGTTAAGGCCCAAGATGTTTGAAATGAATGCAATATTAATAGATGCATATATACATGACATATTGTGGTTAATTTTAAAACTACTGTGCCTTAACGTGTTTCTTAAACTTTTGTAGTAAATGAACATTTGAAATCCATTTTGATAAACCTGCTGTTAATGTTTTTTTCCCCCCTTGTGAATGTTTTCTAACTTTGTCTTGGTAATTGCAATTTAACTAGGTGCGGTGGCTACTAAAGTTCGAAGGCACGATATGCGTGTCCATCCTTACCAAAGGATTGTGACCGCAGACCGAGGTTAGTTTAGTTCTGCAGTTCTTGTCTATAAGAAATGCGTTGGGTGTCCATAAAATTTGCAACACCACACCTGATGGAAAAATGTAATTGCTTACCTGCACACAGTTTTTTTTCCTTTTCTAAATTTGTTTGTGATCACTGACAGATATAAGGGTTGGGTTTTTTGTTTTGGTTTGGTTTTTTCTCCCTTCATATTTTTAACTTATTAAATCTTCTATTATTATGTACTATGATTTATTCCTACTAAAACATAAATTAGTCAATTTGGGGAGCTATTAAATTTTGATGTTGCCTTAGTTATTTTCATTAATAACTTTTGCTAAAATTTACCTTTTAAAAATTCTGAAATTTGGGGTTGGTATTGCAAAATGAATTGAACGGGTGGTGCTTTAATGAGAGAAGTAAAGGAATATATGCCTCCTGTGTACTTTTGGAGAAAACTGAAGATTTAGTTTCCATTTTTCTTTATAATAAAATATTTGAGCCACTGTATAAACGTGAGGGTGCACATGTCAAGTACTTAGCTAAAATCAACAAAGTGAGGACTGTGAAGATAACTTTCATGTAGTTGGATTTTTTTTAATATAAATTAGAGCGTCAATTCCCTTTTATTCTTACATTCTCTTGCCAAAATGGATCCTTTGATTTTTGTCATTTGCTGCTAAAATATATTATCTGAAGGTAAACTGTCTCTTGAATTTCTGTGGTGATATGAGATCCAGCTGTGTGAATATCATTTTTGACTAACCTGTGACTGGAAAATAAGTCTTCATTTTTCTCCTTTACAACTTTTATAATTTGTGTCCTGTATATGCCCTTGGACCCTTTTATAAATTATTTTTGCTTATTGAGGAATGGTATTTTCGGTTTATTGACATTGAATCGTTTTCTAAGTTTTTCCATCGACAAGATAGGAATCTCAAGCATGGTAGTAAAAAAGGATTTTTTACAAGTTTCTATTATGGCACATTTGTTTCCTACAAATTAAACTGATCAAAGTCTCAAATATTAGTGGAGGAAAAAGTGCTGGATTTGCACTTCAATTGTACATCTTCTGTGAATTTATGAAGGACCTACCTGCTTCATGTGATTACCTTGAGTACTGATGATAAATACTAGACACAGCTGTTGTCCACATCAGAAATAACATGCCTTTCCCAAAGATACTGTTAATATTTGTTTAGCACAATACATAAAGAATGTCCAAGACTTTCAAACTAATGTATACATCACTTACAGTGATTATTCAGTGAACAGAATAGACCCCAGCTCCGTGGTCATCTATGAAGATGATATTCCTTGTAAGTGTTCTGCACGAACACGTCTCATAGGGATGGGGAAATTTTTTGGAAAGTCACTTTAGTTTTAAAGAAACGGGACAATTCCATGAATAATTTGAGGTTTTATTCATATTGCTTATGTCTACAATTGTTCTAAAGAGTATTTTAAAGTAGTTTTTTCCTCCCAGCTAATCTTTCCCTGTATGCCCCCTTTTAGGAGATTTCTCACCATTTTGCTTTAACACGATAATTATTGGCCTACTTAATACTCCAGTGCCTTGAGATAGTTGGACATATTTGAGGAAGATTTTATTGTATTTGGAAAATTACGACACATTCCATGCATGGATCTTTTGTTGTTATGTGTTTTGATTAGTTCTGTCACTGTTTTTATTTAAAATGCAGTGTCAGCAAACCGAAATGCTCATTTCTTTTTTAGTAACAGAATACTCGTATACTTATCACTGTATGCACTCATTGGGTCTAAGGGAGATGTCTGAAGGCCTTCACTTAAATTATTTTATGATACTACTGTTTTCTCTATTTTTGAGGTTAAAATTATTTTTAAAAACTATTTTGAAGAGAAGTTTATTAGTATAAGCATTCATTTAATGCAAAGAAACTCAGCCCTTGGACATATAACCATGTAATTCTGTATGAACGTTTAGAGTCCTACATGGTTGACCAATATCTAGTTCTTTACTAAAAGTAAACTCACCTCTCTATATATATTTCAAAACTGAATTTGAAGCCTATTAGAGACCAACTGATCTTTTAGTTGTAACGAACTGTATGGTCTTGTATGGTGACACACCTGTGTAGGAGGCCAAGACTTGGCAGAGGATGTAGTCTAGGTGTCCTGGTATATATATATGGTCACTCACTTCGTTTATGTATTCCACACTCAAAAAAGAAGTCAGAAGTTTTTCTGAGTAATACAAAAACCATCACTTATATAATTTGTATAAGAAACTTTAAACAGTTTTAATCAAAATTATGAATAACATCAAAAATGCTTTAAGATTTTATATTTTGGAATACCTGTGAAGTAGTATGACTACATCATGTTAAATATTTATTTTCTTCTATGATTTTGGGGCAGCAATTTTTATTTTAAATAAAATTCCACTTTTAAGAAATTCAGTGAAGATTTGGTCACATTGAAGATACAATATTTTTGTAGTATTTATAAACTGTTCTAAATGATAGACTATAGAAAGCATTTTTGTCATATGAAGGTAAATCAGTCCATTATTTAGATCATTTAAACTCTGAACATTACACCTTCTGGGCTTTGATTTATGAAGTGGCACAGAATCTAACTTTGCACTGAATATCTTTTCATTCACATCTCCTCTGCCTTAGTCACAATGGCAACAGTACAGAAAATTCTATCAAACCTCAGAATATAGTAGAAATAATTAAGCTGTTGAATGAGTCTTAAAAATTATACTACTGTTAAGTGGACCAAGTTTGGTGAAGCAGAATGTGACAAAGGTTGATTAAGGAAGGAACAACTCAAGGACATTGGGAATGATAACTTTTCCACTTGAGAACTACTTTATGTTTTACTGTAATTTTTAAAAATTTTTTGTCCTTTTTGTTATTTTGCAAAAGAAAATAGTATTTACAGGTGGCTTCTTTTAAAATATAAAAATATAAAGCAGGAATGTATATGAAATGTCAGATTTTATTGTATTTGCAGAGTATTAGCTTTGAAATTGAATAAAGAAAGCTGTTTGTAGTTTTAAAATGCCTTATTGGTATCAATTAGAAATTTCTTCTATTTTTTGATGTACTTAGAGCTTTTTGAGTGTAGAATTTTAAATGGCAGGATTTTACAGTGTTTACATGCAAGTGCATTTTATAAGTGTTCTATATGTGTAAAATAGTATTTTCAACTGGAAAGTGTTGGCTAGTGCAAAAGGCCTGGCCATTTTCTGGTTCCCATGATGTTGCCTACACTGCTAGACTACAGTTTAGTATTGCTTTGTATCATGAGGCCAAGAAATTCCATGTTGTTTGTAAATAGAATAATTGAAAAAGCAATAAACATTTATTGAACAAAAGAAACCTTGTTTGGCCCAGAGTTTATGTTGAACCAAATTGTTCATAGAATTTTGAATTTCTTTAGATTCATTTCTGTTAATCATCAGTTATTAATAATCACATCCATCATTAATAGTTGCTTTAATGCTTGCATCTGAGAGAATACTAATGCTTAATAGCAGTCAGATACTGATAACTGCACTGACTGTTTAAAAATTCTGTATACCGAACCTATTCATTGTTGTTTTTCAATTTCCTTCATTGACTGCTACTAACTATTAGTTGTTAGTTGTATTTTATTTCTATTTTTTCTTGTTAACCAGTTTTTTGTTTTTGTTTTTGTTTTTTTTTGTGGGAGTGGGCTCTTCTTCATTTGTTCAAATCATGATATGAAATTGTCATGATTTTAATTGTATTCTGTAGATGGTGTCAATCAGTTTGTCAGAATTAAACATGCTTTTTTTTTTATTAGTTGTGATTAGTTTTTCATGTTGTCATTAAGCCGTCACTAGCTGAAACTAATCTCTTCTCTATCTTTTCTTTTCTTTTTTTTGTTTTGTTTTTTTTTGTTTCTAACCACCCAGCCGCCACCGGCAACTAACCTATGACCTTCTGACCTCTGAACTCTTCACCCAATGATGACCTGACCATGCCTGCCTGCTGATCAGTTAACTGGTAATCGCCTTTGCTTGCCTGTCGTCAGTGCAGCGAGCTGAGGCACTTGTCCGTTCGTCTTACCATCTAACCAAACAAAAGACAAAGAAATTGTTGTCCTCCAACTCAGCTTTTTTTTTTTTTTCCTGTTTGGGTGAAAGTGGTTCTAGAACCTGCACTGAATAGTAGTAAAGCAATAAGGCCCAATTCATCCCACAGCACTGATCATCTTTTAATATCCCACCCTAAGCGAACGGTAAGAAGGCCTCTCTTAAGAAGGGGAGACAGATGGCCCTTAACTACTCAATGACAGAGGCAGTTACTGTGAGAGACTTCTAGGAATCTTTTTCTTCTCATAGCGAAGTCAAAGCTCTCTCTGAATGTACTGTGTGATGATGCATCATGCATGAACCTTCGGTCAGGGATATCATTGGTGAAGTGATTTCGAAAAGTATTCAAAATTTGATATGCTGTTTAGTCACTACAGTGCCCTCAAAGGGCAGAAGTTGCAGCCTTTTTTATATTGCCTGCCAAAATTTGAAGTATTAGAAGAAAGTGTGCCATGAGAGAAAAACGTAAGGAGTTTTGAAAAGTAATGCAAATAACAAAACTGCAACACTATTTTTAAAAGATAAATATCTAAGTTAAAATTACCGAATCTTTATTTTACACCTTCTAAAAAAATATGAGAACAAGGTACATGCATTATGTGTCACATTACTGGGCAAACTGTTCAAGTATTTTTTTTTAAACCTCCCTGTATAGAAAAAAATCATTAAGGATGTAAAAGCCATGCTTGCCTATTTGCTGTATACATGTAATGAAATTGTAGATAAAGTGTAGTGCATTGAAACAAATGAACAAAAAGTAGATACTTTTACTATACAAGGGTGCTGGTGCAGAAAAAAATATATATATTTTTGGAAATGTAGCATTTTATACTTTCAAGTGTTATAAAAAAAAAGAAAAAGAACAAAGAAACCCTTTATTTCATTAAATGATTTTTTCTGGTGGTTGTCAAGAAACAAAAGACCAAAAGAGCCTTTTTGTCTTTCTTTTTTATTTTTTAAGTATTGGAATAAGTCTAAAGAAAAGAAAGTGCCTTATTTTCCTTCATGGTCATTTAGTCAAGTGTCTCATAAAGATCAGCTCCTCCCTCAGAATACAAGTTAATGCATGTTACTCAGTCGCCCAGTATGTGAAAGAAGATATGAGGGAGACAAATGAGTTGATGGTTTGAATTATATGATTTTTGCCACGTTACCTTGATGCAAATTTGCCAAATCTGATACTGTGAAAAGATTTGATAACTTTTCTAATGCCTGACTAGTAAGTTTTAAAACATCATTCTTTAAAAAAATAATTTAATATTTTTGGTTATTCCAATCTTCAGTGTTAACCCAAACGATTCTGAGATAAAAATTATGTGTCATCTGAACTTCAGTTTACAGACAAATTAGAACTTTGTTTTATTTGGAGAAGGGGGATGCATTCATTTGGTTTTGATTTTTATTTTGTTTTTAATTAATTGGAGATGATAGGATACCTAGCAAATGTTTTCAGAAAAGTGAATCTTTGTGATTTTCATTCTGGAAAACAATGTTTTAAATCACCCAAATTTAATCACATGTTTTTATATCATACCAGATAACTGGTGTAGTGTATCCTTTTACTGTTTCAGTAACCTTTGCCTCCCCCACCCCTTAACTTTAAAAGAATGTGAAAAACTAGCATCATAGTGCATATAAATACTCAACCACATTTCACCTTAAGCTTCTAATTTCTCTAGAAGTTGAAACAGTTAGTTATGTAGTTGAAGCAATTTGTGTGCAAAGCCTACATCTAAACACTTGAGTGAATAATCATTAACTGCTCAGTACCAGACGTGGCAAATCTCAAGTGACAGTGGACTCCCCCCGCCCCCCAGCTTATCAACTCATCCCCTCTTCCACACCTTCCCAGCATCACAGTCAGAGGTCAGCAGGAAGCTGAGTCATGACCTTCTTGGTGACCTCCCCTGCCATCTTGTCTCACTTGGAAACCGTTGTCAGTTTATTTACTATGCAATAGACATTCATTGTTTTGTATCCAGCTAGCTTTGGTTTAATATGCCACTGCTTTGTCTTTGTGTTACACATACAGTTTTGATTTATTTACAATATATGCTGTGCCATTTTGATTTTTATATTGTTTGGTTGCTTTAATAAATTTGCGACACTCAAACACTTGAGGTGATAGTTGTTAAAAAAAATACCAGTATTTGATCCAGTTTCATCTCAACTGTGTTATACCTGGACATTTTAGATGTTTATCAAAGGTCTTTTATGGGGAAGAAAGTAAATGTATGAAATAATAAATGTGTGACATTTATGGGTAATGTTGGCTCTGAACAAACTTTTGAAAACTTGGTTGACAAAATTTTGGATCAACTGAAAAAAGCATGACTTTTGAAATCTCTGAATGCCTTGGTTCTCAGTATTATCATTCTTTATTGAATTTATTTCTTATTAAAATACGTAGTTTTTAAGACTTTTTTTCTGACAGTATTATGTAATTTTTTAGTGTGGGTAGATGGGAGTGTCGCTTGTATGTTATCGTACAGCTGACATGTATTTTTGTCTATTCTTTATTATCTTAGTTTCATGCTGTGTATGTACCATAACCAACCTATTGCCTATGAGAAACATGTAAGATAATGTATTTACAGCCATTGTTACAAGTTTATAATGTATTTTTCTATCTTGTTTTATATGTATGTTATATAACATTCAAAAAGAATTTTTTTCTTGATTGAGAAAAGGATACAAAATGCAAAATCCACAATTTTGATAACTGAAAATTGCCAATTGTTTTGCAGTACTTTATTATATTGGGTGTCTTGTCTTTTTTGGGCTTTTAGTTAGCTAATGAATGAATACATTAGACACTTTTGGATTTTAGTTGGGATTTTACATAGCTTGCATTTTAATTCTTTGGTTCTTTGCTGTTTCTATTAACCCATAGCATTATTTTAATAAATGTTATAATACCAACCTACTAACTCTGGACTATGTCTGTTTATTAACCTTTATATGTTTAATTAAAATAAACAAATAAAGACAAAAGAATGTAAAGTCTTGAGTTACTGGACTAACCCTGAAGAACGTGACCACAGATAACATGGCGTGACTTGTTTTTATGTTGTTTGTCAGCTGACAGTTTTGCACACTACTGTTAAAATAGCTTTGGTTATTCTGGTCTTGTACCTTGTGGGGGGGTGGGGGTAGGTGCAGTAGAGATGGGAACAAAGAGGCCTTTGTTGGAGGCATTCTTCTCCTCTTGCCACTTGCCTTTCAGCATCTGCATTACTAATTCCACACCTTATTTTTCCTTCTCCAAAATAATCACTGTCTGCTCACAGCATCAAGAGTAAAAAGATATATTGTAATGGTATATACCTGGAGAAACCAGTTTGATTCTTTGTTGAACCATTTCTTTTAATTTCTGTAAATAAGTAATTTTATGGTCACACTGTAAAGCAGAGAAACTGTTGATATTTTACCTTTATTTAGATTTTTATTTTAACTTGACCTTTTTCCTTTGGAAAGCATTGAACTTGTTTAGCTAACTGCTCCTGTTAGGGGAGCTTAACTTGGGTAAAGCCAAAGGCCCACTGACTGTTTCTCATGGTGGCCTGAAGCCCCACTGCTTTCCAATGAGGAAAAGAACCCTCAGCACATTACTGAGTTTTCCTCAGGTATTTTTTTCCCTGTCACCTACTTTACAAATACAGTCAGACTAAAACGTTAAACAAGAAGTTTAAGGGGGAAGAACACTGGGATTTGAAAAGTTGTATATGATCAATTTCTTGCTTGCAAATCAATTTAAGATTTCCTAAATATCTTCATGCTTTTCTTGGCTGGAACTTGGGTAAATTAACCTGTAATTATGAATTACTTAGTTTAACTCAAGGTGCATTTTTATTTCACAGATTGATACTTCCTTCTTTCTGTGAAACAGTTCTCCTAGATAACAAAATCCTCAGGATGAATTTTTGCATTTGTACATAGCAATGTATCTTTGTAAATGACGTTTTATTTATTTAGAGTTGTAGAATTTGGGGCCGAAATGAGTGACATGTAATAGAAGAAAAAACTGTACCAATACGCCCTTAACCAATCAGACTGTCAAGGTATTCTCATTCATAAATATATATACACACGTACATATACATAATACACAGAGTAGTGATAGCTGATTCGAGTGATAACAGCGAATCACCATTGAGATGGTCACTTGGATCATGTAAACAAACTGGGTCATTTCTCTGATGGGAGCAGTGGGGCAGTGTACTGTTGTTAGGTAGACAGGTCTTTAACATGCTACTATTTGTAAAAGTTTCTGTTGCCCTAACAGTTCATGTAGTAGTCTGTGAAAATTCGAAGCTGTCTGTCAAGCTGCTAATGTACAAGTTGTCATGGTACCATGTCACTTAAATTGATGAATTTCTGTGCAATTTACTATTCTCTAAAGCCTATGAATGCAGCCTCATCTCATTTTCAGTTAAGGGTACTTTATGTATAATTAAGTCATTGCTACCTTTTATGTAGGAAATGTAAAGTTTTAAAAGGCGAAAATAACATTACAGATTTCATTTTTATACAGGTTACAATATTATTAAACTACCAAATTCCTAGAACGGTAAAATTCTAGAGTCAGTTGATTGATTGAAACTATTTGACAAAACAATTGAAAGCTGAGCTTTCAGTCAAGAAGTTGGTGAAATTAATGTACTTAAACATTTTTTTCCTTTCGGCAAAATGTCAGGGAAGACTTAACGTGAGAGTAGTTACTCCCGTACGCCCCAGTGCGGTGGCTCCACGTGTAAGAGGTTGTTAAGGCACCCTGCCCATAAAACCAGGATGTGTATACGTACACACAATTGGTGTCTGGTTACGGTTTTCTCAACACTAGATAAGGTTCTGAATTTGTTAGTGTGCCAAAAGCGAATGATAGGTTTAAATGAAATTGCTCACTACCAAACCAAGACTCTAATAAATATATATACATGTTTATATATATATATATACATATATATATATGTCATAGCACTTTCACATGTGACAGCCTAAGGTTTCTTTAGTTTTGGGGTGGAGTGGGAGTGGTTTTGCATGTTTGACCAGGGTGGGATGCCTGTCTTTATTCCTTGATAAGAAGTAGCTGTTAACAGCATTTCAAACAAATTATTTTTGGTAGAATAGGACTTACTGCCAAATGGTAATTTATTTAGCAAAAATTATTCTCCAACTTTTCGAATTCGCAAATTTCCTAAGTGCCTAGAGTAGTTTTTTACATTGTCACGAATCCCTTAATACCTTTATTTGAAGTGGAAAAAATATGGACAATATTTTAGAAATATGTGCTACACATCTAATTTTATCTGTAGTTTCTTTTAAATGATCTAAATTGAGATGCCTTTGATACGAAGAGATTTACCAACATTATATGCACTCGTGCCTTCAATGCGGAATCAAACTGGTTAACCTCGGCACAGTCCTCTCCTTTCTGTGTTTCTGCTGCACTAATTGCCAGGGGGTGGGAGAGAAGGCAGATGAATGAATTCATAGTAGAAGGAGGCGATAGGTGCACCCAAAGAGCAGCGGCAATATTGATTCCACATTACAATTTTGTTGCCCCTTGGCAAAAGACATCACATTGTGGGAAGATCTCAGCTTCCAGGGTAAAAGTTAATTTATAACTTAAAGTGCTATTAAGTTTTTATTACCAAATATATATTTTATGGTTTATAGTGGTATGTATGAAACATTTAAAATTTTACTGTGGAAATTGTGTATATATATATATCTCTATAGAAGTCGAAATAGGTGTGCGCAGATCACATGTGAACGGAGAACTGCATATGACTGTACATGAAATGCAATAAACCAACTGGAAAAAGTGCATGTGCTTTATCCTCTCAAGCCAACTCAGCTGAAAAGAGCTGCTTATCCTTCACCCCCAGAAAATGCATGTATCAATATCAGAATAAAGAACGCACACTTTCAGTTTTATTGAGGCATGCAACACTAATAGAAGAATCTGACATTCTGGAGTTACAATAACATTAGAAAATGAGCATAACATTCACTCTGATTTTAGTCATTAAGGGAGATTAGTAAACAGACTGCTACAGTGTTCCACAGTTGGACTGTGCATCCAAAATAGTTATTTTTTTTGTTTGTTTTTAATGGTACAATTTTTATGTAGTTTTTAAATGTAAGAAAGAAGAAAGGAATGCTGACCAAAATCTTGATTTCATCAGCTTCGTGAAAAGGACTAGTGTCATTAACTTGTTGAACAAAGAATTGGTTTATTTTAAAAAATCATTTCCAGTAGTGTGAAACCTTTACGATTCTTTAACATCTAAACGTTATGACTCTTTGTGCCTTAAGTTTTCCAGTCTGTCTTATTTATATCATCTCCAAGTAACTCTGACTCCTTTCCTCTTGCTCGCTGGAACCTTAGTTTTCCTCAACAGAATGCTTTGTTAAAGTAGCCCACAGGTGCAGGATCCATAGCACCGTCCTACAGACTAGCAGCCGAAAGGTGTGTTTGGTTTGGCTTATACAGTGTTTTGCCTTTTTAAACTACTTGCCATAATTTAAAGGTGGCAACACTAGACTTAAAAAAAAAGTGATTGCCCATATTAGAATTTTTTTTTTTTTTTTTTTTTTTTTTTTGAGACGGAGTCTTGCTCTGTCACCCAGGCTGGAGTGCAATGGCGCGATCTCGGCTCACTGCAAGCTCCGCCCTCCCGGGTTCACGCCATTCTCCTGCCTCAGCCTCCCGAGTAGCTGGGACTACAGGCGGCCACCACCTCGCCCGGCTAATTTTTTTGTATTTTTAGTAGAGACGGGGTTTCACCGTGTTAGCCAGGATGGTCTCGATCTCCTGACCTCGTGATCCGCCCGTCTCGGCCTCCCAAAGTGCTGGGATTACAGGCTTGAGCCACCGCGCCCGGCCTAGAATTTTTTTTTTTAAAGTTTCTTCGCAAAATCTGCTCTTCCTGAAAGATCAAAGTGTCTAGAAATCCCAAACATGTATTCTCATGTAGTAGGCCCAGCCGAAACTGAGTGATTCAACTGTCCCCTTGAGCCAAGCATTCCCTGGTTAGTCACCACCCCACCACTCCTTCCTGTCTCTGGTGTCACACTTGGGCTGTTGGTTTTCTTGCTCTTGTCTTGCTTTAATCCTTCCTCCTCTCCCTGACTCCTGTGGATCTCTCTGCTTGTCTCCTGGTCCAGGATGGTGATCTGACTTTCAAACCAACTTTTCAAAAGGGATGACGTAAAATCGGTTTTGATGTTTTTCCTCCTGAAAAATCAGATGAATATTTTAGTCACTTATTCATGCATATTGTATTTCTTACTGTTTAAAGAAGGACTTCTATTAAGTGAGTGGAAGCACTAGACATTTGGATTTCCTTCCCAATGTAATTTTTAATGATTACCTCTTTTATACAATAATTTGTGGTCTTCTTAGAAAGCAGTTAAACTAATTGACCATCTAATAGTTGTACTATACATATATCTAAAATAATAGTCATGGTAGGTTTGACATCACATCTTCCCCAAAAAATATTTATTAAAATTAGATTATTCCAGTTTAATGCTATTTTGTGAAGTGTATATCTGAAAGTGCTTATTTTTACATGCTATACAACAGTTTCAATTTTAAAGAATATCTCCTAAAATTGGGATGAAAATCTCTAGTCTTTGTTTCTTAAAGTATGCTATACTATATTCATTGGTTACTTAACTGGATATTAATATTAATAAAGTTATGACAAGAAAAAGATGATTAAGAGCAAAAGGAGAAGAAAATATTTGCAAGTGAATCCACAATTCTTGCAGAACTATCTGAGTTGATTAAAGATTTTATGATCACTCCTTTAACTTAGGACTGTCAAGGTTGGGAGTGATGAAAGTGCCTTGGCTATGCTTGAAACCTGAATTTTAGTGCTTCCCTTATTACATTCATTGTTTTAAGTTGGTTTATAAAATTAAGACATACTGGTAGTACAAGTTGAAAGTTGGTTTGAATACATTTTAATTAAATGATATATGTTAACGAATTATGTTTTTGTTCATTGCTTTGTTTTTGTTCATTGCTCACTGAGGGAAACCAGCATTAAAAAGTTGTCCAGAATTTAAACTGACTCTAGATTTCTAGATTCCTACCTAGGTGGTGGGAAAATGTAAAACTTTAAAGTTCATGGGCGGAATGCAATGCGGGTGGAAACACCTGAAACTAAGAGTTAAATGTGACTCTCAGGGAAGAAAGCTAGATTAGCAAATCAAACATACATATGCCTCATCCAGAACTAGTATTCAGGCATCAGTTTTTGGGCTACTAGCAGTAAAGTTAGTTTAAAATGAAACAAACTGGGAAAGTTGGATACCACATCCAGAAGTGGTCTGTCATCAGTAAGTATTGGTGTTGATTCTAAAATGCATTAGAAACCTCCCATTACTCTTGGAATTAAAGCAACCTGGTATGGAGAGACATGAAAGAAAAAATGTAGTGTAAGCTTGACGTTATGTCCTTTTCACTGAATTCTCTATCAGTCTATTTGGCAGAGAGATTTTGTACTGTACAAGGAAAACATCACTAATGTGGAGACCAATAATGTACATCCCGCTAAGCTAATAAATACCGAGATGGCCGTGTGAATACCTTGGATTCTTCAGAGAAGTGTTTTAGTCCATTTAGTGTTGCTATAGCAGAACGCCTGAGGCTGGGTAATTTATATGAAAAAAGGTTTATTTGGTCCACATTTCTGGTGGCTGGAAAGTTCAAGATCGGGCAGCTGCATCTGGTGAGAGCCTCATGCCGCTTTAACTCATGGTGTAAAGCCAAAGGGGAGTGTGGACCAGGTGCACAGAGATCACAAGGCAAGAGAGAAAGAGAGGAGGCCAGACTCAACCCAGTCTCATAGGAACTCATGCATCCCTGCAAGAGGGAAAACACCCGGGGGCGGGCATTAATCTTTCCACGAGGGATCCACCGCAGTAACCCAACTATCAGCCCCCACCTCCCAATACTTCCACAGTGGGGATCAAATTTCAACAGGAGTTTTCCTGGGGACAGACTCCACCCAAACCGCAGCAAAATGTGCGACCCAATTTTTCTAAAATGCTTGTTGTATTTTGCCAAAGAATCACCACCACCATCCTTAGCTCCATCCTAGAGAGGTTGTAACAAAGAAAAGTTACTGAACCAGAAAGCAGAGTGTCCCTGATGTAAAAGAAAGAAGTAAGCCAGGTGCAGGGGCTCAGCCAAGGTGGGTGGATCACATTTTTATCTGTGGAACCCCACATTTAAGTACATATGCAATGAACTGGGAAGAGTTCATGTTATTAAGGGGAATATTGGGAAGCTCCTGCTTTCCTTACCACTTGCTCCCGTCAGTTCAAAGAGGAGCACTACTGCCTTCAAAACTGCATTGAACAGAGCTAATGGAAAAGAAAAATAGAGACAAATGTAAATTTAGTCTAAATACAAACTTGAAAAGTGAAGTTGGATACCACACCCCCTCCCATTTCTTAAGTATTTTTTCATTTGTCATTCTTCTAAAGCCAAAGGTGATGAAAGTCAGGCCTGCTGGGAGATCTGTATCCACTCCAGCAGGTTGCTTGCCAAGAATTTGGTAATAGTGTCAACATGAGCCTTCTTGCTGAGAGCCCTCAGCAGGCTGTGAGGAATGCCTGAAGAGTTTTATGCACAGCAGGCTCTCATGCCAGTCCTTTTCAGTTTGAATTACTACCTGTTTCTCATATGAATATTTCTTAAAAGTGGAAACTGTAGAATTCTGTAATGGAATTAAAATACAGAAATACCAGAGGAAAAAATTGTAGGCCATATATAGAAAAGGGTTGTTGTGATACCCTGTTGTATATCAGTGGCTATAAAAATCAAATATTAGGGAGAAAAAACCACTAGAAAGCACCCAGCAGAAATCATGCATGCTTTGCACTTGCAGGTTACTCATATTGATGAATTAGCACCACAGTCAAATTTCTGAGTGCTTAATTGGTGTTAATTAAATGATGCAATCAGTATTTCTGTGTATATCAAAATGTATGAAAATCAAACTTGTGCATCAGATTTATGTTAGTCAAATATGATAAAGTTGTGTAATAGAACAGATTAATCTCTTACAATCAGAAACCAAGGGGGATCAACATACCTTGAGTACATGTTCTCAAAAATACTCCCTTAATGACTTACTGGGGAGAAATTGCTATTGTAACTGGCAAGCTTCAAATACATGGTCTGGGTAGACAGTAAAGACAGGATATTTTAATGGAGGGGCATCTTTTATTTTACAATTTTAGCCTCTCTTTTAAACAAAGTGTCCAAGTGTTTTACTACCACCCATCTTTATGCTCTTCGACATCTCTAAGGAATTTCAACGTAAAATATTTTTGAGAAGCCACAAGTCAAAAACTTTAACTTGATAAGTATACATAAGTGTGCTGTTTTGTTTTTGTTTTGTTTTGTTGTTTTGTTTTCTCAAAGCAATATAAGCTTGCTTTCCACAGTTGCACCAAGGACTGACTGTCAAAAGCATCCAGGTGTCTAAATGGTTGGTGTATTGCAAAGCAAACTGGAAGACAGAACCTGCTCTTGAGGAGTGTCTGTGCTTTTCAGTAGGGCTAGAAAACTCTATGGTCACTATCCAAATGAAGATTTCAGTTCCGCATGTGTATTACGCCAGGTTGAATTGGCACATGTGTATTTATGGAGACAAGTTACCTTTAGCAAGGCTGCTGGCCATGTCAGTTTTTTGTCTGTTTTCTTTCATCATAGGAAACATCCCAAACTACTAGATATTATTTTTTTGTTATGTTTTTTAAACACTGGTCATTCTGGTGACGTTTTTTGTTATTGTTAAGCTA